CGTGTTGAAATTTTGCTACAATAAGATTTGGCACATGTAGTACTCCGTAATATTTGAGGGAAAAGTGAAACCTTAAGTTATATGGAGTACTAGTAAAACTTAATTTATACAGAGTACAAATTAAAATACGCCGTGCTTCAAAAAACACCTACAATAAATGAACCATAGTGCAAAATTGTACAAACAAAAGTAATGGCATTCTGTACACAATCCATTACACTAGCGTGTTATTTTGTTGATTTGGTTACATCATGATCATATCATTCAATCGGGTTGGAATGTAAGACATTTGCAGTGGGTGATGATGATATATTTGAAATAATTTAAAGTATCAATTATCTTAAAATAATGTTTTCGATTATTTTCAATTATGTTTTCGATTTCTATTATGTTTTCCTAGACGTTAAATTATGGGTGAAGCCTAGACGTTAAATTATGTTTTCGATTTCTATTGATAATTATTACTCCCCTCCGTCCTTGAAAAAATGTCCTAGTTTGACTTCACAAATACTTCATCTGTTCTTTTTTAGTTGCAACGGTCAATATTTCACACTTGGCAACACACATCTTTGACCGTAATTATATCTTAATCTCTATTAGTAAAAAATATTTAAAAATTAGATTTTGAAAATTTGTAATGAGATGAATTGAACAATATTTAAAAAATAATAATTTTCATAAAATAATAATATAAAATGTAGTCAAAGTAGAACATTTGAATAGTGTAAAATTCAACATGTTGCGATTAAAAAGAGACGAATGATAGTATTAAGGAAATGAATTTACTGAGGGTTAAATTTTATTGTAGAATGCACTGTTTGGACACTATTTCGACATTGTTTGACACTGTTTTGCACTGTTTGTAGAATTGTTTACCAAATAAGGAAGTTAAAGAAGTAGGACATTAATTTAGAGACTTCCATTTTGAGAAAATAGAACATTCTTTCAGGGATGGAGGGAGTATTATATACTGATACATGAAGAAGAAAATAAATGTCCAAAATATATTACGGAGTACACAAAATTGAGTCTAATTTTTACTTTGTTCGATATATATACTTTTTAAATTTATAAAAAGTGAAAATACAAATTGACATATTGCTGGTTTTTACTACTCTATATTAGATTCTATATATAACATGTTTATAAAAGTATTTCATTTTTAAATTTAACCAGTTTTGCAAAAAATATTTCATCTAAAAGACTTCTTCCTTTTCATGGCTAAGCACGCCTAGACTTACGCCTTTGCATGCCTTTGGTGATCAACTCTTTACTCTTGAGTTGACCGTCTTTTCCACGCCTTTCTACAATGTGAGGCGTTTCTCCGCCGCCTTATGCCTCGGCACGCTTAGGCCCCGTCTTTTGCCGCCTTTTAGAGCACTGATTATAGGCAAAAAAAGGGAAAAGGGGCAAATAAGCTCACGTACTAACCAAAAAAGGTCAAATAAGCCCTTATATAGGAGGTTCTGTCCAGCTATCGCCATTTGGGGCAGTTCCCGATGGAATTTTTTGATGATTTTTTTGGAGCATCTTATTCATTAAGTCTAGTTTACTCATACTAAATTTCAGTTAAAACTTCAATCGAGAAGACATTCAAATGAATCCTTGAAGATAACTGCGCTTTTAACTGCACAGTTATTTTTTGGGGGTGACTATAGCATTTTTTGTAAAATGAATTGATTTTATTGACATTAGAAGGTTGTCTCTTAGGCTGACTGAAAACCCAATTTTGTGGTTTTCAGTTTTCACCCCTTAAATTACTTTCAAATGAAAATTAACAAGTGGAAATAGGAAGTACTCCCTCCGTCCCAGAAAATTCTTCCAACTTTCCTTTTTGGGACGTCCCAGAAAATTCTTCCAACTTCACCTTTTTGATTATTTGTGTGGCTCACATTCATTTCACCTTTTTCTTACACAACTATAACCATACATTTCTACTTTATTTCACTACCTAAATATGCGATCCAACTCAAAGTTGGAAGAATTTTCTAGGACGGAGGGAGTATATATTTACACACACCATGTCGTGATTTACTCCTCTAATTAATTTCATTGTCTTCGACCATATACTATGTAGCGTGGGAGTAATGTTTGTGTGTTGATATGAGTGTTAGCAAGGCGGAGACGGAGAGGAGCTCGGGCATGACACTACGGGAACATGCTACGAGCATTACACTAATTTTATAATTATAAGCATTGCATATCAGAGAAATCATCTCATCAGGCCGGCCTGACAGGCTGCCCCGTCCGGCCGAGCCCGTTTGGGCACCTTCCCGGTGGAATTTTTTGATGAAATTTTTTGAGCATGTTCCTCATCAAGTCTAGTTTGTCCATACCAAATTTCAGCTCAAAATTCGATCGGGAAGGTCGTCAAATGATTTTTGCAAGTTAACTGGTCCGGAATATGTATCAAACGCTACCCACTTTTACTTTTTGAAAACACTTTTTTCTCAAACACTACCAACTTTTACTATTAAACACTTTTTTCCAAAATCACTTTAAAAATCACTTTTTCTAAGAACAACCTTGTTGACTATATGGGGCTATAACGTCGGTTATTTCCCCAAAAAGTAATCGATATACTCACGCACTACGAATGTAAGGCAACCCATTCATAATCAATATTCGGAGTATTAAATATTATTTCTTCAATTACCTTGTTATCATATGCATGTTGAGATGCTTTTGATATGTTACATCCGCTCATTATAAATTTCTTGAAGCATGGACATAAATACATAATACATCTGGCTAGATATGTAAATACTCCTTTATAATACTCCCTCCGCTCCCCTATTATTTTTTAGTTCCTATTCACTTTGTCAACACGAATCACTCTTAATCTCTTACTTTATACGGAGTATTAGTATATCAAATTTTTATCAAATTTGATTATAGTTTTTGCGATTTTGTAAAGCTTTTAATGTAGTTGTTTACTACGTAGTACCACTAGTACGTAATTTTTTTCTGAAAATAATTTGAGTGCGGACAAGCAAGAATCTGTTTGCTTTATTGTCGATCAAACATCGTAAATCACAATGAGACAATATAATAATAATAGGGGAACGGAGGTACTAGGAGTAGTCTTATTATTTCAGGTATCTATTATAATATAAAGTAACAAGGTGGGGAGCCTTTTTTTGTTCCAAATCCCGCCCATTTTAGGGGCAGTATAGTCATTTTTGTTAAATAGAGAATTAAATGCTGGAATCTTATTCTTGGCATGTAGCATGTGTTCATCTATGTTATACATACATACATACATACATACATACATACATACATACGTACTTGCACCTCTAGCCCAACTCAAGAATTACAAAATACCACCCAAAGCAATTAAATATTAAATTAATATTAAATGCATAATTAAATGCTGAAATGTTAATCTTGGTAAGTACAATGTATGTGATACATGCATACATACATCCGTAGTTGCAAATGCCGCCCAACTCGATGATGATTACAAAATCACATATAGACCAATTAATACCATATTTAAAATTTGGGTAAAAGTTTTTTAATTTTTTTATAATTTTTTATTTGTACTCCGATTGTTACAAAAAATATTAAAATTCACAACTTTTTACGTAGTATTATCTTTCATATGACGTCAATATCTTTATATTATGTAAAGTAGCAGAGTTGCTACAGCTTTTGGAGGTAAAATTCCCTCCTATTTGAAAGATATAATTGGCAAAGTGTGAATCTAGGATTTGGACGTACTGCCATATATAAAGTTGCCTTATATTTGAATTTAATATGGTGATCGATGATATATACAAACTATTTGGCAAGAATTGCTAACCAAAATGTCCAAAATGTTAACCAGGAGAAGTATATATTAATACTACCAAGCAAAAATTGGTAGTACTTTTTTATTTATTTAAATTAGTTGTTATTATATTCTAGATATATCCGTGCATCGCACGGGTACTTCGTCTAGTGTTATATGCACAACGTCATGGGCGGATCTATGTTGGGGCAGGGGTGGGCTCCAGCCCAGCCCAGCCCAATTTATTTTTATTATTATAGGTATAGGTTTAATTTCCAGCCCACCTCAAAATTAATGTCTAGCCCAGCCCAAGCTTACCAACTTTGTAATTCTATTTGATTATTAATTGAATATTTTCAATAGATAGTAAAATAGTTTTTATTTATTATAAATTTATAATGATTAAAGATAGAATTAAAGATTAGAAAATGATTTATTTATTATGCAATTAAAGAATAGATAACAATGTACTTATTGTTTAGGCATGTAAGAATGGATTCAAAATCTCAATTCAATTTTAAAATTGGGAATACTTATTAGTTTTATGTACATCGACTATTTTTACTTATTAGTTTTATACTTTTATAGAAGTATTTTAATTCATACCAATAAATACTAAAATCTTTAATAATCAATAATAAAATTATAAATCACACTAAAAATGTTAAAATTTTAGATATACTACCTCCGTCTCGTTTTATTTAGCCATCTTTGACTCTTTAGTCAAAGATGGTAAACTTTGATCCATCATTTAAACTCATGTTTTATGTGAAACTTACTAAATTTATACTTTTATGATAAACTTTTTAACAAAGAACATTTCCATTTCATTTTAATGTTATCAATTTTATTGTATAAATATATAGTCATTCAGAGTTTAACTTCTTTGACTTGAAAAGCCAAATTAGTCTTGATAAAAGTGGGCGGAGGAAGTATATAGTTTATTTCTATAATTTATAAGTTATCAATATGCTCGAGTCCAGATCGAACTGAACATGACTATTCTCGAATTCATCTTGAATAACTATTCAAACTCAAAAAAACAGCGGCCGCTTTTTTTGTAAAAACAAACTATTTAAACTAAAATTTAGCCCATGTTCGAGATTGAAGCTCGTTAAGATTTGGTCATTAAATTAAAGTCGGAATAACGATTGAACTCGAGTAGTTAAAAAAAAACTCAGTTCAATAACTATCAGTCCTAAGCTAAACCTTTTGTATGTTGTAACGAAAATTTTTATTGCTTAGCCCACCCCACCCCTCATTCCTGGATCCGCCCCTGCACAACGTAACGTACATATCGATTAAAACTTAAGCAATAAGCATGTAAACCATTATTATTATTACTCCGTGTTATTCTGAATATTCCTATTAGAGCTACAAGGGTTGTAGCTTACATGCAACAACACAGTTTATTCTAAATATTGTACTACGTATTTGAGAAACATAACCCTAGGAATATAGTGCTCAAGGCTGGGCTTCTTGAATCATCTTCAGGTAAGATGCTGCTTCTTCAGCGTTGTGGCAACAGTACTTGCACCCCCCTCCATATCCGTGTCCACAACAACCATACTTACATCCGCCGCCGCCGCCGCCGCCGCCCCAACCACCACCTCCACCGCCACGTCCTCCCCCACCACCGCGTCCACCTTTTCCGCCCCAACCGTAGCCATACCCGCCATTCCCGCCAGATCCATAGCCGTAGCCTTCCGGTTCCACTGTCCTTTGGTTGGCTTCGGAATTTACAAATTCTGCAATTTAGTTCACACGTACTGGGTCAATACCAAGTACATTCATGTAACAACATATTCAAGGGAGGATATATGTATGGGCTATGGTAAGCTCAAGCCCTAACATATATAATTTGTTTTTCTATTTTTTTGTAACTTTTTTTCATTTTTCTATTTAGCTCACCCCAACTAATATTTAAGTCTAGTATACACTACAAAAAAAAGGCGGGATTGACACGGAATTTGGCACGGACTTATCAATTTTTCGTGCCAAATAGCTCGTGCCAAAGTTTTTTTTGGCACGGATTTGGCGTATCCCTGTCAAAATCCGTTCCAAATCCGTGCCAAAATCCCTGCCAATCCCGTGTTTTTTTTGTAGTGATATATATAATTGATTTCCAACTCATTCGAACATTCATGAATCCATCCCTTAGCATATTTGATCATACCCATCTCAGTCAAGGCAAAATACCTGGCCCGTGGCCAAAGATCAAGCGACTGGACGAAAGGTTAGTTACTCTTTCGTCCGGTTGGGTCTAAGGCTCCTTAGAGCATCTATTTCCGGACATACTTTTTAAAGTCTAAAGACGATGTTTTAACTTCTTAAATTTTCTGGCCAAATATCAAACGAGATGAGAATATCCAATTTCATGAAAACAGGTAAAAAAGCAAAGATGTCTCAATGGAATTGAAGCAAAGAATTATTTATAACATACATACCCTTGTTCTCATCTTGAGATGTATCAGCGGCGAAGGCTGAGATGACAAGAAAGAGAGCAAACACAAAAACACAAAGAGAGTACAACTTCATCATATCTTTTGCTATATATTTCTAAATGTGTTGTATTGCAAATAGTTGAATATACGCTAGGTATTTATAGAATAAGATACATTCTATATATGAGAAGAAGACGAATGCATTGAATAATAATGATATCACAGATCGAGACCCTGTTGGTTGGGTGTTGGGTTGGTTACATTTTTTTGTCACCTCTTGCTTTCAACATATTATCGGATTATTTGTGGGGTAAAGCCCGGGGGCAAATCCCTAAATGGTACATTATCTATAGATAGTATTGCATTTTGGTACCTTAATTCTTAAATGAATCAAAACGGTACCTTAACTATACATAAATGTTTCGAATTGAGATTTTATTCAAATTTTCGACCAAAAAATCTCACGTGGCAGCCATAATTCTATGCATAAAGTCTATTTCACCTTATTTTTGTCCATATGGTCACTATAGGGTGACTTTACTAATGAAATTTTGATCATCATGAAGGATTTTTTAGTAAAAAAAATGAATAAAATCCCAATTCGAAACATTTATGTATAGTTAAGCTAGGTACCATTTTGGTTCATTTAAGAATTAAGGTACCAAAATGCAACAATACCGATAGTTAAGGTACCATTTATGCATTTGATGCGTACGTAAAGCCCTACATGTTATTACTATAGGATAAACATTATCTTAGTTTTTGGTCAAATTTAGAATTATACGGAGTATTATAATAGAGGGGTGATGGGTGGTTCTATATATAGTTCTATCTTATTCAGCATTCACCAAAACAAAAGAATGATAAATTGTTTCCAGGCCAATTTGTTCATATATAAGATAATACGAGAAAAAAAAAAAGATAATACGAGATGGTCCGCCAGAAAATGGAGAAAAACATGTCATTCTTACTTAAATACGGAGTAATACGTACCCAAAAAATAGGACTAGACAAGGAGAGCTTGTTTGGTAGCCATTATTTTTTAACTTATCAGTCAACTTCATATTTTCATCAAATACGTAACTATTTAATTTAATGAGCTGAATTATGGAGTAATCAAAATAAGTAAGGTTAGAAATACTCTTTCAATTAAATTGACTTAAGTTATTGCATAGGAGTACAAACTATTTAGCTATTTTATATAATTTTTTCTTAATGTGATTAATAAAATATAATACGGAGTATATATTAAATATTTTAATAATTCAACAGATGTAGAGCCCGTTTGGAGAACTCTGTTTTCGGCTTATCAGGCTTATCAGCCAGCTTTTTCACCAAACACGTAACTTTTACTTTCGCGCGCTGAATTGTGTAATAAGCCGAAAAAGTAAGGTTGGAGTTACTTTTCTGGCTGTATTGGCTGAAGTTACTGTAGAGGACCATTTTAGCTATTTTTACATATAATTTTTTCTTTAATTTATTAATAAAATATATTTTTAAAATATTTTTTTCTTAAATCAGCAGAATCAGCCAAAACAGCCACTCCAGCCAGAATATCATAAATTTCAGCAGAATCAGCCAAAACAGCCGATTTTGGTGCTACCAAACGGGCTCGTAGCTTATCTAGCAACTTCAACCCAAATTTACACAATTTCAGCCAATTAACGTTATTGCATAGGAGTACAAACTATTTAGCTATTTTATATAATTTTTTCTTAATGTGATTAATAAAATATAATACGGAGTATATATTAAATATTTTAATAATTCAACAGATGTAGCTTATCTAGCAACTTCAACCCAAATTTACACAATTTCAGCCAATTAACCCAATTTCATCGTTACCAGAGGGTCTAAGTATTAAATTACTAATAATATAACATTCTTTAGAAATTACTTCAAATAGGACTAAAACTATGGCAAAAACTCAAAATAGGACTTGCTATGTTTTTATTCTAAAATAGGACCATAGTGGTCCTATTGGAAACATGCTCATTTCTTCCTTCCATTCTTACCCCTCCTTTAAATATTAGTAAAAGATAGCTAAAAGTCATAATTAAATGTTTAATTCATAATAAATCTGAAAAAAATTCAATAATTCGTAGAAAAATAATAAAAAATTAATAAAATTTTTATAAAATAAAAAATAAGAATTTTTTTTAATTTTTTTTTTTTAAAATTAATAAAAAATAGTAAACCTTCATAAAAAAAATAAAAACAATATGGATACCTTTCCCACCGCCTGTACTACCTCCCTGAACCACTGCACCACCTCCGATCGGTTTAAAAAATGCCATTTTTTTAAATTCCACAAAAATGGCATATTTCTCTATGAGAATGCCAACATTTTCATTATGCCAACTTGAATCCTTTTGACTTTTACCAAAAATATGGCATTCATAATTTTTTGGCATTTTTTTACCCCGGTGACAGGAGGTGGTGGTACCGCCTCCCTGCACCACCACCTCCGACCGTTAAAAAATGTCATATTTCCTACAAACTTCCATTTTTTTCGGAAAATGCCAAAAATATGGCATATTTCTCTTTGACAATGCCAACATTTTTTCCCTGTCATCTTAAATCACTCTGAATTATGCCAAAAATATGGAATTCTTAATAAATTTGGCATTTTTTCCCAAATGACTAAAGTTGGTGGTGCTGAGGCGGCAGAGGCAGCGGTGACAATTTTTTTTTGGTTTTTTTTTTATTTTTTTTTATTTTTTTTATTTTTTTTATTTTATTTTTTTAATTTTTTTTAAAATTTATTATTATTCAAAATATTTTTATTAATTTTTTGGTATATTTTACGAATTTTTATTATTTTTTATTATTTTATTATGAATTAAAACATTCCAATAGGTATAAGGGTATATTTGTCCAAGACACACATAATTAGTCCTATGGAAATATAGTTTATTTTTTGGTCCTATTTGTGCAAATTGAATGACTAGCTTTTAGTCCTATTTTGATTTGATAATTAACTCAACATTGTTTTATCAAACAACTTACACTACTCGCGGGCAACCATCACAGGGCAGCCATCTCTGCCCCCAGATTATCATCCGAAAGTATACAATCATCGCCAAACCTTACTTATTACCTTATTAGTTATTCAAATATACTCCATATATTACATCTTTATACGGTTTTAAGAGGTTTTCTTTTGGATTGTTTTCAGTCCCATACCAGACCATACCAGACTTCCATAGTTATAATTAAAATACATAAAGACTAGACATTTACCAGACCAGACTAGCTTAGGTCAGTTCAGACTAGACCCGATAAACCAGATCAGATCAAACCACCAAATTTGACAAATTACGAATGTTTCGGTAATTTGCTCTTACGTTAATAAGAGATTTTTCATCCTTCTTTCTAGTTTAGTGAAAAAAAGAAGAAATCAACAAATACCGTTAGATGTTATTTATGTTCCACATGTAAAGAAGAGATTTCTCATCCGGTTATGTGGCATTTCAATATTTCATAATTGATTTGATTTCTTATATTAATTTCTCTCTCTTTACTCTCCTGTCTTTTTTTCTATGCGTCACACATAACTTCACATACCTCCATGCTCCATGGATTGATCCCTTTTTTTTTACCAATCCCTGTCTCCATCTTCCATGTTAAATATGTTACATGACTGAATACTGTGTGTAGTATTTAACTTCTTACACCCTTATTTAAAAAATCTAGAGGTGGGCACAGGTTGGGACAGTGCAGGATTAGAGTTATCCCGATCCCAACTCAATTAGGAATAACAATACGGGACAGTACATGACAAGCTTGTGTTCTAGTTTTGTGCCTTTTAAATCGTGACCATGATGATTCGCAATGGTTCAGGACGTTCCAAACTAACAAAAGAGTATTATACAAAAAAATCATCATTTGTATTAAAATATATCAGCATTTCTAAAGTATCATGCACCAATGTCTAGGGAGCGGCGAAGGTAAACCCTAGCCGTTTCCCTCCTCTTCTCTTCTTCTGAATCAGTTTTCTCCTTCTAAAGATGAAAATTAAAACTTTCATAAATATTTTCAAGTTATTGTATGTGGTTTCTTCCTAACAATGTCTAGGGTTTGTGTAATCCTCGTCGGTGAAACTGATCGAGCGTTGAAATTTTAGTGTTGGTGGATGACAACGTTGACACTGCTTGATCTGTCCGGGAGGTTAATTTCATACGTCGGCGACTCCAAGACCTCAATTATTCGCCCTCCTCCTAAACCACCGTTGTGCTGTGAGAGAAACATAACATTCGATTGGATCTTCTTTTCGGTGGCTGGTCAAACAGATGATATTTGCAATTTCTTTCCAGTAGCTGGTCAAACTGAGGATTCTAGTTGTTTCTTTCTGGTGGCTAGACAAACAAGATTATCTATTATTTCCTCATCGGTGGATGGTGAAACTGATTTATATGTTTGTTTTCTGTTGCAGATTAGTACTTTTTCTAGTATTGATTATTGGTTAAGTAGCAGGAGCTTCTATGTTGATAGAGGAGTCTAAATCTTTGCGGGGTTAGCGAATTGTTATGTTCCGTTGGAACTATTCAATTCTATGTCTCATCCCATTGTAGCCTTAGGCTATCAAAATTACTTTTGTATGGATCATTTTTATTATTAATCAATAGTTTTTTTTCTTTCCAAAAAAAGTATCATGCACCAAATAATTAACATTTTATAATCCAACTGATGTTTAAATCAAGTTATGTATTTACAAAAACCTAAAATCTATCTTTAGATTTTAATTAGGTTTAGATTTTAAAATTTAACACAAAGTAAAAATGAATTAATTTATTCAAAATTATGTGTTCTAGTTGCGAAATACTCATATGCAAATACATGGAGTGAGATAAAACCTAAGATAGTAAATATTTATGTTAGGTATTATTTTTAATTTAAAATTTTGGGTTGAAAGACTAAAAACATATTGTCATTTATTTTTAGAGCTGGCGCTACAAACTAATCACAGGTGATAGATAGTGTACCCTGGGGGTAGCTTATCCGAGGGGTTATTACGGGGAATAACCTAGAGAGAAGTCAGAGCAATAAGTAAGAGAGAGAGTCTGATATATTAATGAACTCTGATCTGGGATCCTTTACAAGAGGAATAAGGGCTGCTATTTATAGCAGCCATAAATACTAAGCGCGTACACATGTCAAACATCCGACGGCTGAAGGTCATCTCAATCGGGGGGCACCGATAATTGCATGTGCACCGCATTAAATGTGGTGCTTGGACGTGATGCCACATTGAATGCGGTGGTTGCTTGTCTCCTTAGGAGGAAGCTTCGTAAGGCGCAGACCTTCCGGCCTATATCTTATGGCCGAAGGCTAGGTGTGTGCCGAGCGCACCCAGTAGCCGAAGGCTACTGTTTTCTGCCAGTTTCTCCCAATAGCTTAGCGTGTTCAAAACCAGCCGTCTCCTGAAGTTCAGAGCCCTCGGCCATGGAGGCCGAAGGCATTCTTATGTACATAGTCGGTCCCTTTAGGCTTGGACCACTGTATCTGGGCCTCATGTGCTTATTGTGTTTATTGGGCCTGTGTTGGAGAAGTAGGGGTCTGTGGGTCGGGGGTCCTCGGGCCATATACCCCATCAATAGGCTAAAAACTATATAGTAATTACAAATTAAACGGGATAACGAGACGATTAGGATAATGTTTCACTATCCATTCCCAATCATGTCCCATTTTAAACCGGTACGGGACCGGTGCGGGGCAAAATGAACGGCTCCCAAACAGAATGGGGCAACACCAGTACGGTTCCGAGATATATCGAAATGGGACAACGGGACAAGAATTCTTTCCCACCCCTAAAACATCTATGCCAATCAAATATACATCACATTTATATTACTTCGTTTTTTCTACTATTCATATTCGGTTATATAATTCAAAATTCTTTTAGTTCGTTTTTGAAAGAATGGCAAGGATATGACGTGGAGAGTTTAGGTTTACAAGAAGAAAACTAATTTTAAGTTAGACAAAAAAGTGACCGATTGATATTCATGTAATTTCCGATTATATGTTTGTATTTTTAACTAGTTTTTATTAGTTCTAGTTGTGGAAATTACACACTTTTGGTGTAATACTTTATTTTCATTTTTATTTGTAATTTAGTTAGATTAGGATTTTTCTGAGCTAAACAGGTCAAAGATCATCTAAGGGATCAAGATTGGACCTTAAAAGATCAAGGAAAGTGCAAGGAGACAAGAAAGATTTCGATTTGGAAAAAATACTCATGTACCCGATCGGGTATTGCCTATACCCGATCGGGTAATTGCTTGATTCGACTGTCCAAATCAAATCTGAAGACAAATGATCGTGGGAGCAAATTTTCATAAAGATTTGTCACATACCCGATCGGGTATATACCCTTACCCGATCGGGTATGCCCAGTCGGGTATCCTATATACCCGGTCGGGTATCAGATCCTGCAGCTCCCAAAAGCCTATAAATGCATCCCTTTCATTCCCAATAAAATCACCAATTCACATATACTCTTTAGTTCAGTTTAGATTAGTGTTTTCTTTATATTTTCTATCATGTTTAGTCTCCAAATGAGGAGCTAAACTCTTCCATCTTGGTATTGCTACTTTGACTGAATCTATTGTATTTCCGAAGAGGAAAATATTTGGTACAATCGATTGCAACCAAATAAGTACATCTGAACAAGCCAAACAGAGCCTAACTCGAAAGACAACATTGCACAATAAATCTATAAAAGAACAGCCATGAAATATACAGCGGGCTAGGTCTAATGGCAATACATATCACGAAATTAGCATGAGGTTGTTCTCACCTACAGAGCTTTAACTTTCTGAAGAAGGGCGATACAAGTGATTTTGGATAAGGTTTTGTGGCAAGGCAGGTAGGCATATTCTCGGGTTGTTCAATCCACAACTTATGAGCAATACTAGCTACTTTAAGTTTCTCAGACAAGCTCACAATCTGGGCTTCACCTTTAACTTCAAGAGTCACTTTGTGCATACAGTCAATGTTGTTAGGATCACAGTACCTGTGTTGGAATTAGTCCAAACTATTATTCCTAAAATTATGGGCATAACCCATGGTCTTATTTTGTGGCTTAGTTGGTTAGTTTCTTTCCTGATTTTTAGAGTAGAGGAGTAGTGCTCTGTTAGCTAGCTATTTCTTCCTTTACTTAAATAGCAGCAGACTTTGTTTTCCATGTATGTATTTTAGCAGTATTCACTTTAATTGAAAGTGTCGTTCTTCACTTTAGTTAGCACCAGGCAGTTTAATTCTTGCCCCCAAAGTGTTTGTTATATTGCCTCAATAAGATTATTGCTCTTGTCTACACTTTTCCAGAAATCCTGGGCAGTGAACTACACTTGGTATCAGAGACTCGTTGGTGAAGTGAATGCCCAAATACATGCCTCGGAATTCAACCATGGACGGTTCTAAAAACAAAGAAGGAGCAGTCAGTCTCCAGTACCCGATGCTTGCCAAAAACAACTACACTCCATGGGCTATCAAGATGAAAGTGTTCATGCAAGCCCAAGGAGTTTGGGATGCTATTGAACCGGCTGATCCAAAAGCAGAAATCGAGGATCGGAAGGACAAGATGGCCATGGCAGCCATATACCAGGGCATTCCAGAAGAGATGTTGTTGTCACTGGCAGAAAAGAAAACCGCGAGGGAGGCATGGGATGCTCTCGAGACGATATACATGGGCGAGGAACGCGTAAAGAGTGCAAGGATTCAGACTTTAAAGTCGGAGTTTGAAATGCTCAGAATGAAGGAATCGGAGTCCATTGATGATTTTGCTATCAAACTACACAAAATCGCCACCAACATTCGGACTTTGGGAGAAAAGTTCGAGGAGGCGTGTGTCGTTAAGAAGTTGCTCAGAGCTGTCCCAACAAAATATCTACAGATTGCTTCAACAATTGAGCAATTTGGAGACATGGAGACCATGACCGTTGAAGAGGCTGTTGGCCGGCTCAGATGCTATGAAGAGAGGATCCGTGGACATGAAGAGATCGAGGGAAACCAGCTCTTGCTCACTCAAGAGGAGTGGCTGGCAAGGTCAAAAAAGGGAAGCAATGGGGAGCCTTCTTCAGCTCCTAAGGCTCGCGGTAACAACGGTGGAAATAACCGTGGCCGTGGAAGGGGACGCGGCAGAGGTCGAGGAGGCGGCCGGGGAGGCCGGGGCTGTAACAATACCTTTAAGCAGGAGGCAGAGAGCAACCGGAAATCAAGTGGTGGCCGTGATAAAAGCAATATAAAATGTTTTAATTGTGATATATACGGTCACTACGCGTCAGAATGTCGAAAGCCTCGACGGGGAGAACAACCGGAAAGCAAATCTAATTCAGATCCAAGATGATGAGCCTGCACTCCTTCTATCCATGTGCAAGCAGGAGGCATGCAATGTGGTACTATTACACGAAAAGGTGGTCCCAAAATTGCGGTCTGGCAAGGGAGCCACGGAGGAGTCTAACCTGTGGTACCTGGATAATGGAGCAAGTAACCACATGACGGGCGAGAGATCAAAATTCAAGGACTTAGACGAGAGCATAAAAGGCCAAGTCAAGTTTGGCGATGGATCAATGGTGCAGATCGCTGGTAGAGGAAGTGTTCTTCTTCAGTGTAAAAATGGTGAGCAACGACTACTGGATGAGGTATATTATATACCTGATCTGTGTAGCAACATTATAAGCCTCGGTCAACTTTCAGAGGTTGGTAACAAGGTCACACTCCACGGAGAATATTTATGGGTGTATGATAAACAAGGGAGGTTGCTCATGAAAGTGAAACGGTCACCGAACAGACTCTACAAAATCATTTTGGAGAGTTCTCAGCCAGCTTGTTTGTTGTCAAAACTTACAGAATCATCCTGGCTTTGGCATGCACGTCTCGGGCATATAAACTTTGATTCCCTGAAGCTGATGTCCAAGAAGAATATGGTGTGTGGTGTGCCGAGTATAGAGCACCCAACACAGATATGCAGCGGGTGTTTGATGGGGAAACAAACCAGGGGTTCTTTTCCCACTCAAACCAGCCATAGAGCTGAAAGAATTCTGCAGTTAGTCCACGGTGATCTCTGCGGCCCAATAACTCCACCAACTCCTGCAGGAAACAGGTATTTCCTCCTTTTGGTTGATGATTATAGTCGTGCAATGTGGGTGTATATGCTGAAATCTAAGGATGAAGCCTTTGACGCCTTTAAGAAGTTTCGAGCTCTTGTTGAAAGAGAAACTGAATGCAAAATAAAAGTGTTTAGAACTAATCGGGGGGGGGGGGGGGGGTGAATTCCTCTCAAATCAGTTCACACAATACTGTGAAGAGGCTGGAATTCAGAGGCACACAACAGCACCTTACACCCCACAGCAAAACGGGGTCGTGGAACGAAGAAACCGCACTGTTATAGAAATGGCCCGAAGTCTGTTAAAAGGCATGAACCTGCCAGAATACCTATGGGGGGAAGCTGTCCGGCATGCAATTTATCTCCTAAACCGTGTACCAACAAAGGCATTGGATGATATTACTCCGTATGAGGCCTGGTCTCGAAAGAAACCGCATCTAGGACACTTAAGAGTGTTTGGGTGCGTGGCACATATGAAAATTCCAAGCTCACAGGTGAAGAAGATGGATGATCGGAGCAAATCAGTTGTGTATTTAGGCGTGGAGCCTGGGAGTAAGGCTTGCAGGCTGCTGGATCCACAGGAAGGCAGAATGTATGTTTGTCGTGATGTTGTTTTCGAGGAAAACAAACAGTGGCCATGGGAACAAGTTAGTGCTGAAAAACCAGATTTCTCAGCACCACTTATCATTGAGGGAGTTGAACAATCAAACCTTGATGGAGGAGAATCTGATGAGGAGCCTTTCACACCTCAAAGAGAATCCACTGGCATGCTTCACGAACCAGAAATGCAGCCCCATGAGCAGACAACAACAGCTGCACTAACCCCCCTAATGCAGCAACATCTTCCTTTGTTGATCCAGGTAGCACATCCAGTGATGAAGCACCAAGAAGATTCGATCGCTTCAAGAGATATATGCTGAGACTCAAGAAACTGAGGCAGATGCAGAATTGTTCTTCCTATGTGTGGAGGAACCGACTTCCTTTGAGGAAGCTGCAAAGGAAACGTCTTGGAAGAAAGCAATGAAGCAAGAGTTGGAGGCAATTGAGAAAAATAAAACATGGAGCTTGACTGACCTTCCTCCTGGTCATAAATCCATTGGAGTAAAATGGGTTTACAAACTGAAGAAGGACTCAAAGGGAAATGTCATCAAACACAAGGCAAGGCTTGTTGCAAAGGGTTACATACAACAACAATGTGTTGATTATGAGGAGGTTTTTGCACCAGTAGCCCGGATTGAAACTGTGAGATTGATCCTTGCACTCTCAGCCAAGAAAGGATGGGAAGTCCATCACCTTGATGTCAAATCAGCGTTTTTAAATGGTGAACTCCAAGAGGAAGTGTATGTCAAACAACCGGAAGGCTTTGTGAAGGAAAATCAGGAGCAGAAAGTTTATAAACTGTCTAAAGCATTGTACGGGCTACGCCAAGCACCAAGAGCATGGAATGCTCGTTTAGACAAGTGTCTAAAGGGCCTTGGCTTCAGGAGATGTCCATATGAGCAGGCTGTCTACACACGGCATAGATCAGGAGGGTCTTTGATTGTCGGCGTGTATGTTGATGATTTAATAGTCACTGGCTCAAGTACTTCAGAAATCAATGAATTTAAAGATCAAATGAGCAATGAGTTTGAGATGAGTAATTTGGGTCTCTTATCATACTATCTTGGGATTGAGGTAGAGCAAGTGACGGGGCAAATTGTGTTAAAACAGACAGCATATGCCAAGAAAATCTTGGAAAAAGAAGGGATGGCAGACAGCAATCCTACCAAATATCCAATGGAACCGAAGCTCCAGCTAAGCAAGGATGAGGGTGGACAACCTGTTGATGCAACAAAGTTCAAAAGTATCGTTGGCAGCCTGAGGTACTTGACTCACACTCGTCCGGACCTTACTTATGCCGTAGGTGTAGTGAGTAGGTATATGGAGAAACCTACTGTACTTCACCAGCAAGCTGTGAAGCATATTTTGAGGTATATCAAAGGAACAATTGGTTTTGGGATTGTGTACTCAAAGGAGGCTGGAAACGAAGATGAAATTGTCGGGTATTCGGACAGTAATTTGGCCGGGGATCTTGAAGATAAGAAGAGCACCGGTGGGATGGTGTTCTACGTCAATAGCAGCCTTGTCACTTGGGCCTCACAAAAGCAACGAAGTGTTGCACTATCCTCCTGTGAAGCTGAGTTCATGGCTGCCACGGCAGTAGCTTGTCAAGGAATATGGATGCGAGGTTTGCTTAGTGAGCTAGTAAGTCATAAATTGGGTCCAGTTATCATTTATGTTGATAATAAGTCAGCAATTGCATTGATGAAAAATCCAGTTTTTCATGGGAGGAGCAAACATATTGATATTCGTTTCCATTTCATACGTGAGTATGTTGAAAGAGGTGAAATTGTGGTCAAGCACGTGCGCACCGAAGAACAACGGGCTGATATACTCACTAAGGCATTAGCAAGAGTCAAATTTGCAGAAATGCGTGAGCTGCTTGGAATCAAAGACCTCACCTGATCAAGTTTGGATTAGGGGGGAGAATGTTGGAATTAGTCCAAACTATTATTCCTAAAATTATGGGCATAACCCATGGTCTTATTTTGTGGCTTAGTTGGTTAGTTTCTTTCCTGATTTTTAGAGTAGAGGAGTAGTGCTCTGTTAGCTAGCTATTTCTTCCTTTACTTAAATAGCAGCAGACTTTGTTTTCCATGTATGTATTTTAGCAGTATTCACTTTAATTGAAAGTGTCGTTCTTCACTTTAGTTAGCACCTTTAATTCTTGCCCCCAAAGTGTTTGTTATATTGCCTCAATAAGATTATTGCTCTTGTCTACACTTTTCCAGAAATCCTGGGCAGTGAACTACAACCTGACCGTGTGTGGATCTGTCTTGTGGGACCAGATTGCAGCAACTGACGCATGGCAGCCTTGAGTAATTACGCTCCCCAGAGGCCATGTGTCAATCAGGTCTCTCCTCAACACGATGTACTGGACCAACATATTATCGGGTTGTGGGCTTCCCAACAAGCCAATCTCCGCTGATGCTGAAGATTCGGTCTCCATTTGAGCTGTTAAAGAGCCTTTTTCTGATTTTGGTTTGACAAATATAATACTCTTCAACGGAACCTAAAATGATATCATACTGTCCTCTGTTGCAATTGAAGTAGGTCTCTCTCAAGCCAACGCACTCAATAGAAATTGAAGGGGTCTTCTCCTTGACACATTCCCTGTAGGGCTGATTCTGAACCTTCGGTGGCGAGTAGGCGGCGTGCGGTGCACGGGTGCTGATGTGCTGAACGGATGGACAAGGTTGAACTGGTGGCGTGCGGAGCCAAGGAGCTGCGGTGCTGGACTGCTGGCGAGCTGCGGTGGCGACCTAGAGGCCTAGACAAAGGTCACGCAGGACGGAGGTTGCCTTGGCCCCTGGTCGACTGCTGCGGTGACTGCTGCCGCGCTACGGGCCTGCGGATGGGGTGACTGCCCTTGACTTTGCTACTTTGAAGTTTAATGAATTTGTAAGTTGTGAGTTATTCCCTTTAATCTTCTTCCTTGAATATTAATTCTTCCTTTAAATACTATTTCTATATCAATGTTGGGGAGTGTTACTAAGATGACAATTAGTTAACATCTTGACATTAGTTATAGTAATAGCTATTTCTTCCTCTATGTTAATATTGGGGAGTGTTACTAAGATGACAATTAGTTAACATCTTGATATTAACTATAGTAGGATTCATCTTCTTTAATATTCTTCCTTGAGTATTAATTAATTCATATTCATATTTCATATTAATATTTTGAACATTACTTAAAGGATCAACTAGTTTTGTTCATATATTAATTATTACTAGAATCAATCGGTTAATACGCTTGTTATTAATTCGGTTCTTTCAATGGTAGTAAACTTGGGTTGTTAATGCATGCTTCTCATGGTTAATAAGCCAAGGGGAATTAATTATATTGATTAAACCAATAAACCGCTTGTGTTGAGGTTATCAATCTCAATTGTTTTCATCTTAAGTTTATTGCTACTATCAAGTTAATATACGTCGCTTGTTCTATATTGACTCGATAGTAAGTTTTATTAATGAACACATCTCGTTATTAATAACTACCTTCGATGAACTGGAAATACTCCTCGATTGAGTATTCGAGAGGAAGATAGTTAAAGATATAACCGGGATCGACGAACATTTCATTAAGTGGATAAAAGCAAAACCAAGCCTCCATCTCTTTTAAAGTAAACCACATAACTCGTTCATCTTTGTGTTTAAACATAATTTAAGTTCATAAACCAATCATAAAAACCCCCCTTGTTACTTCTTTCTAGTTTTATAAAAAGAGAAGTGTTCCTTTCCCTGTGGATATGAACCTTACTACACTATACTACGTATTAGTGTTGTATTGTATTTATTTTGAGTGCACCTCACGACAAGTGCACGTCAAATTTGGCGCCGTTGCCGGGGAAAGGCAATTATTTTTCTTTTTATTTTATTTCAAGAAAAAAAAATTAAATAAAAATATAAACCAAATCACCGATCTATAAACCAAATCACCGATCTCTTGGAAAAATATAAAGAATTCTTATTTTCTATTTCTGAGCTTTGTTTGAGTATATGGTTAAACACCGATCTATAAACCAAATCACCTACCAAACAAATCCCGAAACGGAACAAGCCTTCGAGAGGTTTAGGAATTTATTTCCGAATACTTCTTCGGAGGAATCATCAAGTGCTAGCTCCAACTCTAGCGAATTTGAAGAGCCAATCACTATGGCTCAAGAGACAAGAACATTGAGGGAGCTCACAGCTCCGAACTTGAATCAACAACCATTGTGTATTACCTTCCCTACTCTCGATGAGGGTAATACGTTTGAGCTAAAATCTGGGCTCATTCATCTGCTACCGTCCTTCCATGGCCTAAGAGGGGAGGATCCGAACAAACACCTCTCAGAGTTTCACATCGTTTGCACAAGCATGTGTCCAAACGGTGTGACTGAAGAACAAATCAAACTAAGGGCCTTTCCATTCTCTTTGTAGGACACCGCGAAGGATTGGCTTTTCTATCTTCCTTCTGGGAGTATCAACACATGGGCGCAAATGAAGAAATGCTTCCTTGATAGGTATTATCCTGCTTCTATCTCGTCTTCTCTCAAAAAGCAAATAAGCAACATCGAGCAAAAGGATGATGAGTCCTTGTATGAATATTGGGAGCGTTTTAAGAAGCTATGTGCTAGCTGCCCCTATCACGGATACACGGAACAAGACCTCATCTTATACTTTTATGATGGTCTTGTTGATGATGATAGAAGAATGGTGAATGCCGCTTGTGGAGGTGGCATTGTTAACAAAACTCCTTCACAAGCAACAAGCTTAATCTCGGAATTAGCCGAGAACTCACGGCAATTCAGCCGCAAATCCTCCACCCGAAGAGTTCTTGCTGCGGAAACAAGTACAACCGATCTAGAAAGTCAAGTTGCCGGCTTGACTTCTTTGGTAAAAGAACTCCTTCTAAAACCAAAAATTCAGGAGGTCAAAGCTTGTGGCATTTGCACATCAACCGGGCACCCCACTGATTCATGTCCATCACTCCAAGAAGAGCAAGTCAACGCCCTCGGTTTCCAAGGACATCAACAAAGAAGGTATGATCCTTTCTCAAATTCTTATAATCCGGGATTGAGGGATCATCCAAATTTGAGATATGGGAACCCTCAACAAGCCAACTCATCTTCTCAACCACCTTTCAACACCCAAGGCTCAAATTCTCAATCTAATATGTCAACTGATGAGATGATCCGAACTTTGACCTCAAACATGGTTACCATGCAACAAAACATGGGAGAATTTCAACAAACCATGATACAATTCCAACATGAGACAAAGTCAAGCATAAAAAATTTGGAAACTCAAGTTAGCCAAATTTCAAATGCTGTGAGCCGACTTGAAGCAAAGGACTCGGGTAAACTCCCATCTCAAACGGAGCAAAATCCGAGGCAACATGTGAATGTCATCATGTTGAGAAGTGGGACGACATTGAAAGAGGTAGAGAAGAAAGATCAAGAGATTGAAGAGGTTGACCGTGAGGAGGAAGCTAAATTCGAGGAGGAGTCAACAAAAGCCAACCCCCCTCCATTGTCATCATATGAAGCAGTAGCTCCTTTCCCCGAGGCACTGAGGGAAACAAAGAAGCCAAGGAAAGATGCGGATATCTATGAGACTTTCACCAATTGTGAGGTAAACATTCCACTCCTTCATTTAATTAAAAGTGTCCCTCGATTTGCTAAATTTTTAAAAGAATTATGCACAATCAAGAGGACACAACACTCAAAAGGAAAACAGAAAGTTGAAATTAGTGAACATGTTTCGGCAGTTTTTCAAAGAAAACTCCCAAAAAAATGTACTGACCCGGGCATGTTCACTATAACGTGCAAGCTAGGAGACACTATTTCTAGGGCCATGTTAGACTTAGGGGCATCAATTAACGTGATCCCATATTATCTTTATAAATCTCTGAACCTTGGCCCTTTAAATAAAACTGGTGTCGTAATTCAACTGGCCGATAGATCAACTATTTTCCCAAAAGGGGTAGTGGAAGATGTACTAGTTTCGGTAGGTGATCTAGTGTTTCCTGCCAATTTTTACGTACTTGAAATGGAGAGTAATAAACATGAAGTACCTATTTTATTAGGGAGACCATTTTTAAAAACTGCTAATTCAACAATCGATGTTTCTAGCGGACGTTTAACTATGGAATTTAATGGAAGGAAAATATAATATAACATTTATAATTCTATTAAAAATCACTCTCCCTTTAAAGAATCAATTTTGATCATTGAGAAATCACTAGATAAACCACCGGCGGTTGAGGTGGTAGCAAGAAAGAAAGCTCAGCCTTACTGGAAAAGGCCGAAAAATAAAATTGAAACATGGCCAAACAAGGTCTTGAAAAAGGATAAAAGGGATGTTCATGATCCCAATTAAATCACAAAATAAAATAAAAAAAATAACGTCGTGCCGCGACGTTAACTAAGGCGCTTCTTGGGAGGCAACCCAAGCTAAGGTACGCAATTTTTTATTTTTCTTTTCATTTTCAGTTTGAATGTCAACTTTGAGAGAATGAGGGACAATTCTCCAAAGAAAAGGAGAGAAAAAGCATGTTTTAAAAGTTTGGGGAAACCTCCGATCGGGCATAATCACTTACTCAACCGGATCCCAATGAAAAAAATGGACAAAATCAAAACCCAGGGTAATATACCCGATCGGGTAACACCTACACCCGGTCGGGTATATGCGAAAATAACAGAGGTCAGGATCGAGTACTCTATACCCGATCGGGCATATTTCTTGGCTCGATCGGGTATATTTTGGCGAAATCCTACGGCACAACAAACCCGACTAAGTACACCCCATACTCAATCGAGTACACGACCCCTGGAGTGTTTTTGAAAAAAAAATGAGGTTATACCCGGTCGGGTATATTAAAATGATTTTCCGGGAATTTCTACGGCGCAAATCACCCGATCGGGTATCATCCCTTACCCGGTCGGGTACACAAGTTTTAAACCCAATCCGGACGCCCAAAATCAGTCATTTTCCCCAAATTCCTCCTCAAATTCAAACCTTCTCTCTAAAAACCCCTCCATTCCCAAACCTTATTTCTTCAATTACACCCTCATTACTCACCCAAATCCACCCAAACCACCACCAAAATACTCCCCTTACTCTCCTCTACAATCGAACACCCAAAATCTTCATCTCCCCACATATTTACACAAAGATCAGGTCAAATCAAGGGAACAATTCAAGGCTACGAGGATGTCTGTTTCAGCCCGGGTATGACGGAGACGAGCACTAGGGACAGTGCTTCGAGCTAAGTGAGGGGGAGTCACTCATTGATACGTACTTAAGTTTGATACCTTGTAACTGGCATTATTTTCTTCACAAAAAAGAACAAAAAAAAAACCAAAAAAAAAAGCAAAAAAAAAAAACAAAAACAAAAAAAAAGTAATAAAAAAGAAAACAAAAAAAAAGAAATGCTAGTTAGGTTGAAACCCCAAAAATGGGCAATCTAAGCAAAAAGGGCTTATAAAAATGAGTGAGTGGAAAGGATGGAAAAATAAAAAGAGTTGCTAGGATGAAAACCTGAAAAGGCTCCTAGGCAAAATGAGAGATACGAGATATATATTTGTTTTTACAGGACATCATTTAATCTCTTGAACATGAAAAGAGGAGAAGAAAAGAGATGAGTATAGAAGGCCAAGAAACCCAAGAAGATATTGTTCTTTGAGCTAAACACTCAATGTAAAACTCAAGTTTTATCCTTGGTGGTCTTTTGATTCTTCTTGTTGATTGTTGAACTCTTGAGGACTTGGAACTATTAAACATTTGACTTTACTCGAGGACGAGTAAAGAAGCTAAGTGTGTGGGAGTTGATATTCACGTAATTTCCGATTGTATGTTTGTATTTTTAACTAGTTTTTATTAGTTCT